CAGGTGCGCAGCAGTGAACTGTGCACAGAGCTGAGACACAGGAATGTGAAATGTGTTTAGCAATGTGGACATAACTGCTGGCACATATGTATGTGGAGGGCCTGCCAGTGTGGTAGTTCGAAACTCTGAATTATAGTACATATGATTTTCTCCTTGTGGCAGAAAGCTCCAGCAGAAGCAACAATCTCTCTTTATAATACACATGTGCTGTGAGCATCTGGTCAGTGCTGAGACTTCATAGTCCACCTTTTTGGAAAAAATAAAAAATCCTCCCGCACTGATAGAAGAAAAAAAAATTACATTTAGTTTTTTTTTTTGCATTTTGGCCTGCAGAGCGTTGCAAACCTGATCAGTACATACCGGGTGCAATGCAAAGATTTCTGCAGACTCTTACCTTAGACCCAGGAGGTATGGCACTACCATTATGGCACAAGAGGAGGTAATTAGGTGACATCACCACACTCCATTGAGATATACGAGTTCCTCTGCTAGAGTACTAGGTTCGACCTGTAGTCTTCCATTCACAGATACATGCGAATGGATCTGTTAATGGATGAGGTGACGCAGAATGCAGAGAGAAGGACCCCGTGATTCAGGGTTGGGAATGTGACCATGTTTCTTGCTACACCCTAAATATGGGTGTAACATGAAACACGGTTACAAAGGTGGACTATGACATTAACATGTGCTGTGAACAGCTGGTCAGGGCTGATCGCTTGGAGTCAAGGTCTGAATTATACATTTAGAACTATCCGGAAACAAGATGTAGCATCACATGGTGACAGAATTCTCCAATGAAACAGGAAGTTGTTATTCCCCTTTTTAATAATATAGTAGAAAAAAATGGTTTTCCCAATGGTCGGACATTATTGCCATGACCTTCATACAAAACAAACAACTTCTAGTCTGCAGATGATTATGAATTTTCAGCCATATCATTGCACAGACTAAGGTAAATGAACCCTAATAAAAAGGAAAATAAACTTTGCTCATAATAGCAAGGTAACAGGATTGCTGTGCTCCCCTGCCTCCTGAGCCACGAGAAATACATGGCACTTCTGGGTAAGGTACCATGCTACAATTCAGCATTTAGTAACTAAGTGGCTACTCACCAGGCCTGATCGCTGTGACACTGAGGACTAAATAACTTTAGACAAACACACAAGTTTCTATCTACAATACCTGCCTTTATTAGAAACAATATATACAGTAATGAAATGTGTCCAACAAGATTATTCTGCTTTATGCATTAAATATGATAAACAGCCTGTTAAAAATAACGTAAACCCTTTTTATAGTATACACTTTTCCTCTAAAAACAGCAGCAAATCTCACCTAGCTGCTGTTTTTGGAGCTTGGCTAACTATTATTTTTATGGTCACAGCACAATATCAAATGCCACCAGCAGGTGGTGTTCAAATCCATTGTTTTAGTTCTTCGGGAAAGGACCTTTTTGTGTTACTACAAAATTGGGTAAGAAACATAATTTCTTCCAAAACAAAATGTACATCAAAGCCAATGTTTATTAACCCATTGGATCCTGCTTTGCCTTCACCGGCCACAGTTATGGAGAGATTCTATCTGGTGACAGGTTATATTGTACTCATTTTTCATCAATAATATTTGCTGCTGGACCTTAGGTTCATACTGCAGAAAGAAGTTGATGGTTTGAAAATAGGTTGTGCAAAACCCTCTTTTACGTAATTAAAACTGAACACGACAAAGTGGTTATTAATCTATGAATGCAGTAACAGGATTATTATAACCAAAAAACAAAAGCAAGAACGGCTGCCTAAAATTTTCTCCGGTAGCTGTACTTGTGCTGTGACCTGATGACCATACACAAGTATTTACACTTTTTCTAGGCTTGAAGAGACAATTCTTTAGCACTGGCAATAGGACTACTGCATACAGACAACACACCTCCCATAAATGCTTAAAATAAATGAATGAATAAATGTTACGAAGTAAACACAATTCTACATAAGGACATGACTTGTTAAAAACCAAACGGCAATAATTAAAATAACAAATGAAACACTCCTGCCCAATGAAAAAAAAATACAATCATCCCAATAAAGGAACAATGTTCTCCATTCAAGTGTGTGCACTTAGTGTAAACATGTATAGAAAAAAACATAGAAGCTGGCTGAAATGTTGTCCCTCTGGATTCAATACTTTCATCTCCAATCCACAACAGGTATTCAGATAAGAACTTCAGACCTTTTTTACTTTGTTTTTCCAGATTGGCAAATTTTATTCAAGTCTGTTCAAATTAGCTAGAGGGGTAGCGTGAGAGCCAGGTAACTGGCAATTTAGGTAGATCAGCAATGGCAGACTCCACCTCTCAGGTAAGTATTACTTCACACATATGTTTGGCATATCCTTATTTAGAATCATGTGGTTTTATTTTATGCTTTTTGGAAGTAGACTTTTATCATTTTCATTACTCAATCACCAGAATTTAGTGAAATCACTACACTGTGAATACACAACAGATCCATTTCAAATGTTCATAACAGTTTAATATAAAAATATAATAACATTTTAGAAGAGCAGCCACAGACAGCCTGCGTAGTAAGTATTGAACTACAAAATACACTTCATTTTGATGAACAATTTTATAGCGAACCAGTTAATAGATTGAATCTAGATAGGTTTGTTGGTAATGACCCACAACCAAACTGAGCAGCAAATTACAGCCAGCAACTGGAAAATGTGGTTTCAGCTGGCTATTTGTCTAACTTTTATATATTACATACTATATCATATCTAATACAGGAAACAGAAGACCATTTTTGCCACCACAAATAAAAGCAATGGGTTTACTTTACTTGTGTAGTGAACAGAGCCATGCAAGTCATTCCTCTATCATACAGTAATTAACCTTTCCTCTAGATCAGGAACGTCAAACTCAAATACAGCAGTAATATTATTTCATTAGTATCGATCTTTAAGGGGCTAGATTATGTCTGAGGGCCATTCCTACTTAGTAAAAAAGAAAATGTAGTACTTTGGATCTTAAAGAGGAACTTTACCCTTATCTTAGAAATGACAAAGACACCTTTAGAAATGTTTAGTAATGTATAGATATTTGCAGGTAGGGATGTTCAGATACCAAGTACCGTACACGGTACAAGTACAGATACTTTTCCAGCTCCAGGACTAGACTAAGGAAAAATTCTAAAGTTAGGAGGCAGCTGTCATTTGTAAGGAGCACACGGAGCTCCTGGGATTTGTACATCTCTGTTTTAATGTATGATTTGTTTTTATAAATATAAATAAGTGATAAACTGATACCAGTTTTCCAAGTACAAGTACTGATACTTGGCCAAGTACTCACAGATACAAGTACTGATACTTGTCTAAGTACTCACAGATACAAGTACTGATACATTTTTGTTTATTGTCATGTGACAGTTTTTCTAAAACAATACAGACTAATGATTTTAGGACAGTGGTGGAGCGCCAGAGACAGTTCCCAGCTGCAACCGCTGCACCCTGGTAGTTCTCATGAAAATGCCAAGTATCTGCACTTGTATCTGAACATCCCTATTTGCAGGCTTTGTATTCTTTGCATACCTTATTTTTCTTTTCCTACCCATTTTTCTTACAGTGGTCATTTTTTACTAAGGGCAGATAAATCCATCTCATTTACTTCCTGTAACTCTTGCACATGTGACTAGGACATGTGACCATGAACATCAATCTCAGAGGTGAGAAAAAAATGCCTTTCCCTGAGATCTCCCAAGATTTTGCAGATTACAGATGAGATTTACCAGGAATGCACTGTGATGTAACCTTCCCAGAATGCATCTCTTAACCCCTTGCCATCCGCCCGGTGTAAAATTACGGGCAGATGGCAGATGCTTTCCGGCAGGTGGACGTATATTTACGTGATTTACTTCCTGGTTGCGTTTGCAACCGGGACCCTGCCGGGAATCTAAACAGCCGTTGCCAGCTGTTATATACATGCGTTTGGCCGGCTCTATAGCTTGTATTACCGTGGTCTTAGAGACCCCTGATGTCTCCATAAAGAGGACCAGTCATTTTTTTTTTTTGGCTATCACAATGGGGGCTTTTTTAGCCTCCTATGTGATAGCAATCAAGTGAGAAAAAAAAAGCTGCAAAAGTCTGAACAATTCACTTTGCAATGCATTGTTTTTTTATGTTTAGAGCAGTTCTGCACGTTTTAGTACGGCTGAATGTTCACGGAAAACCGCTCCTGTGTGAATGGAGCCTAAATCTTGTTTAATTTTTTTTTTTGTTGTTATGCAGCCCAAGGGACATAACTTACCTCCATTGAGGTGTGTTTCATGTCCTGGTGGCTGCCGAGCGATGTAGAAATCATTCTACAAGTGCTGCCAGATACCCCCTGCAGCGTGGATCTTCACATGCTGTGGTGGTTAACAGAAGCTGCTGCCAGTGTGAAAGAGTCTGTGAAAGGTGAGCCACTCACCCGCCAATTCCTCCTCTCTCCTCCATTCATAAAAGCTGTACTATTTCCCACATCCCAAAGCAACCTGTGACTGGAGGATGGAAGGACAAATGACACAAATCACAGGACTGTTGGCGATGGAAGATATACAAATTATAGCCAACAGTTATTTTACCAGTTTTAGGTGGGTTTGCGGTCTGTTTCCTATGGAGATTTCTTCTTCATTTACAGTTATGGACACAGAATACAAAATGAGGGAAAATCTCTCCAAAGTGAGAAGATACCCAGTGGATTGGTGTTAATGGAACAGGTGTCTCTACTGCAAGATTCCTCCTCACCTCTTCTTCTGGTGACAACAAATTTGAATTTCCCATCATTTTCTGCCCTGGAGGAATAATGAGGGTGAATCTGCACAACAAAGACATAGACAGCAATATCTACCCGGCAGAAGTTCCAAATCTTTTTTAATTTCTTCCGCTTTAGTTGCACTATATAAAATACATATTTCCTGTACAGACATGACCTGAGACTTTCCTCCCGTCCTTTGGAGAACAGATGTACACAGATAAAGGAGATTAGTCCAAACATTACACCCAGGCCTTCCAGCCAGGGAAGAGTCGACTCAGGTTCTTTGGATCCATGGCTTGCTGGAGGAGAAGATTCACTTGTCCTTCCACATTCAGCACTGTCCCCTCTTCTACCCCCTTTAGTTTCTCCTGGAGTCGGAGGAGGACTCGTTCTGCCACTTTATTGAAGCTCTGCGAGTCACTGCTTGAGAACAAAAAAACCCATGGCATTACAGATTTATCCAAAATTACCGGAAACAAAAACAACTAACAACAAACTCTGCAGTGATAATGCTGTGCCTGATATGATGGTCCTGCATTAAGTCAGAGCAAGGGCAATAAAAGATACTGCTGGAAGTTCCAGGTCCTGCTAGGCACCAATATTACAATATTAATCTACAATGCAAGGGAAGTGCAATAATGAGCAAAGTGCAGGTATCCAGAGAAACCAGATTTTCACTTAAAGTTATATAAAAAAAAAATCTTATTAATTGATATAATTTACTGCACTTTGCTTTCCTTAACAAAGCCAATTTTTACAAGAGGCAAAACTAAGGCCACAGTACGCCAAGGGAGTACGTGGAGGCGAAGTGACACACTTTCATATGCAGTTTGTTGCTTTTAGAATATGGATAAAGTTATTTGGGCTTCATTAGCTATAGCTACCCTAATACTAAGTAAACTATATTCTAACTATAGTGGCCTTTATATTAAATGTGGCCATAGAGAAGCAGATGGAGAGATATCTGCCTTACTTCAGTCAACACAGGGTGGCATTGGCACACTCTGTGATTCTTGTCCCATGGAGACAGCATGGGACCTTGCGCTTTGGCCTCAACAATAGTGGTTAGCGCCCTAGCAGGTTAACAGGTGTTCCAATGTGTGGTCAAGGCATGAATCTGTAAGATCTAAAGCAGGAACTGATGTAGTTCTATGTACTGTATAATATGTTATATAAACAAAACAAAAAAATAGAAAGTTTGCAAGATTTCAAACAGATCAGCCAAAAATTGCACTTTTGGCACAATTCCGAAAGTCCCATTTTCTGGCCGATACAGCGGGTGCATTCATTTTATTGTCTCCTCTCCGCTGGGCGCTGATCTGTGTCCCAGCGGGGAGGAGAGAAACTGTGACAGGTGGCCGCGCGAGGAGAGCGCTGTGAGCGGCCAGCATCTCTCCTCCCACACCGCTCACCCTCCTGTCACAGATAGGCAGAGCGGTGTGTGGGCGGAGACAGCCAGCACTGTCACAGAAGGCTGAGCTCCGCTCGCTCTGCCTGCTGTGGCTGCGTGTCAGTAAGCAGACGAGTGCAAACACTCAGTGATCGCTGAGTGTTTGTATATAATTGAGGACATGGTATGTGTACTATATTCTCAAATATGAATGAATGGGAATGATCTACATCACCTCCTGTTCATTCATGATTGTGGTTATAGTAAATATAGTCTGTCCTCATGTTATGATTGAACAGGAACACTCAGAGGATTCCTGTTCATTTATAACAGGGGCTGCAGAAAAAGGGATTGAAGACTCTGTGTCCTCAATCTCTTTTTCTATTTTAAAAGGGAAATATCAGAGATCTGTTTAGACTCCCAATATTTCCCCGAAGCCCCTAAAAGTAAAGTAAAAAATAAAAATATTTATATTTATATGGTGTTATACAGGACCTTTATTGGAGAAGGGTATTAGCTTGAGGTGCAACAAAATGAAAATTTCAAAACCAAAATAAAATAAAAAATGTCAAACCGAAACCAAAAATGTTTTTTATTTTACCTTTTTCAAATTATTTTTTATAAACAATTACATTTTTTTTATATTTATTTTTATTCATTTTTTATTAAATATTTTTATTTTTTACTTTACTTTTAGGGGCTTTGGCCATGGCATGGTAATAGTGCAGAATCGACTCTTGACAGTAAGTCTCACTAACAAGTGTGACTCCTTGCTAGACAGACAGACTTAATGGTCAAAAATGATGCAGACCCTCCTCCAAATTATTGCGTTCAGATGGTTCCAGTGAAGGGTGTTTGTTAATGCTACAGTGTACAAATACATTTTAGACAGTTATGTATTTACAACCTCGTGGTAACAATTTGCAGAAGGCCTTTTTCTGTTCCAGCATGAGTGTGCCCCTGATGAACAAAGCTGGCTCCATAAAGACACAGCTTGATGTGTAGCAACTAAACTGACCTGCACAGAGCCCTGACCTTAATCCTATTGAACACCTTTTGGATGAACTGAAACGCTGATTGTGAGCCTGGTCTTGTCCAACATCAGTACCTGACCACACAAATGCTGTTTTGGCTCAATGGCCACAAATTCCCAGACTGCAAAATCTTGTGGAAAGCCTTAGCGGAAGAGTGGAGGCTGCTATAGCCACAAAAGGGTGCCAACTCGACATTAATGCCCATGGTTTTGGAATATGATGTTCAACAAGCTCATATAGGTGTGATGGTCTGATGCTCAAAAAAATGTGGCCATATAGTATATAATGACATCTGCCAAGGGGGACATGTCAGTTATGGGCAGACAACTAAATGTGAAGAAAGACAATTGACTGAGCAAGCAATTGGTGAGACTCGAGCAATAGTAGATAAAACATTTTAACAACGCTCTATTAGCCTTGTTTCACCACAAGGTAAGATGACAATACCAGGTGTTCCTGTTGCATTCTGGGTCCTCTGCAAGTGTAGCATTGAGTTCAGCTTCATCCTGCTGCAAGTAAAGAGCTTTCAGAGGATTCATTGTCCAGTCAAATAGAGGGTCATAAAGCAGCACCTGCCCAAGCAAAGTACATCATATGTTACATACAGTATGTCCATGCCATACTTTATAGCTACACTTATCTCTGGACTATAGATAGTAAAACAACACACAATACAATGATAGATTGGAATCTGATATGGCTGATGTTGACAATGCCTTTCCCTTCTGCTCTTGTTTGGTACAGGGGTTGCACTGACACGGGTTGCACTGACACGTGTTGTTCACACGGCGGGGAGGGGCTTTTCTAATTTTTATAATATTGACCTCCACTCAAAATTGCAGATGGTGCAAACTGCTTGTTCAGGGCTTCAGTTTTCTAACCAGGCATTGCTGAACTGCACCAGTCCATACTACTACTATTTTTGTAGTGTACCAGTCCATTCCACTGCCTTTTCTGTAAAGCAAAATTCCATTCCACTCCCTTTTCTGCAGTGCACCAGTCTACCCTACTGCCCTTTTCTGTAAAGTACCAGTGTACCCTGCTGCCTTGTGTTGGTAATCTGGGGATTTGAAAGCCACTTTAACTCATCTATATTTAATTAAAAGGACATTTTTTCAAACACACCCTCTGCAAAGACACAGAAAGCCTGATTTTAATACTCTCAAAACTAAGATGCTCCTCCTAGCCACACACTAAATTAAACGCTGTCTAGAAAGTAATAACCTCAATGGTGAGTCATCAAATAGCCAGAGAAGATGTTGTTCTAACCACCTCACATGTGGAAGACAGCTGCAATGGACTGCAAAGAATCAAGTTAAGGCAAAATGAGCAGCCAGGTTAAGGCAAAGTGGATAGTATTAGCAGTTTACAGATTGATTTTACTTACTATCAGAATTTGCTCTTTAACAAAGGCAAGTATTAGTCACCCGCAGTCATCTCAGCAAGCTGGACTTGCAGTTCATAGAGAACAGAACCTCTGGTGACCTGCACCTCATGTTAGGAAAGCATCAGAATTCAGGCTCACCTCAACAATGGTCAGCAGAGCATCTTGAGATCTTCTCATCACCTCCATGGTCTTCTCACAGCATCTAGGAAGACACAAAATGATCTAAGGAAAACTACTAATCACACAAAGAGGAGGAGAAATCATCTACCACAAAGTTGTGGCCATTGATTTGTATCATCTTAGTATCTGTGACCCTTAAATTTAAGCTTGTGAACATCTTATGTTTGTCAACCCATCTGCAGGCAAACCGGAAAAAAAGTGTTCATTTAGGTCTAGGGACGGGAGCAAAGCAGATTTACTTACCTGAACCTCGCTCCTGGCGGCTCCCTCTAATCTGAATCTGGTTCTTTCTAAACTTCAGAAGCCACAGTTTCAACCCAATAGAGACATTCCTCTGTCTACTCTCACCCACAGGGTAGTTTTCCTTGTAGCCATCACTTCTGCAAGGTAAGATTCTGCACTGGGGGCCTTATCTTGCAAAAAAAACTTTTTTGGCCTTGCATATGGACAAGCTAGTGCTAAGGCTTTGGACTTTCTTCTTGCCGAAGGAAGTCTACGTTTCACCTTAAAGGAGAACTATGGGGTGAGTGCTTTTCACTCACCTCATAGTTCTAGCCGACCTGTGACAATGAGACTGTCACAGGTCGGCTCACAGGTTCGCTCGCCTCTCGATCCTGTCACGGCTCTCTGCCGTGACAGGGGGAGGGGCTGGATTCCCCTTTCCCTGCTCCGATCTGCCAGCGCTGACTGGCGGAACGGACGGGGGAGGGGGCGGGTACAGCTGGCTCTGCCTCTAGATAGGCAGAGCCAGCTGTCACTCACGCAGCTGGGCGGATCCCGTCATCTACGTCGGGATCCGCTCCGGCGTCTCAGTATACCGCGAGCTGTAGCTCGCGGTATACTGAGCTTAGGGTAACGGGAGGACGCTAGTTTGTGTCCTCCCGTTACCCTAAGGAGAACTATGGGGAAAAACACTGACCCCATAGTTCTCCTTTAATCAGGATATTGTCCTTCTGTCCAACTCCCTTTCATTAGATGGACATTTCCCTCTATTTTCTGGATTTGGTTCTGGGCTGTGCGAGTTCACCTCTCAGCCACAGCTTCTTTTTTTGACATTCAGAATGGGCCTCAGAAGGGAGCCCGACGGACAGAAATAAAAAAAACTTGACAGGGGTTTTAACTCTTTCCTAATTTTTTTTTCTACAAATAATGATTTAATGCAGGGTGCACCCATTACACAAATCATTAAAAGGTTTGCTAATGAGTGTGCACAGCAGAGGAGGTCTGCTTTTAGATTATCACTCTCTGACACTCTATAGGGCCTTGTCTAAACAGAGCAAACAGGGAGAAGATGAGTCACTTCCATGTCTCCTTGAGTTCTGTGTGTAGATTTGGGCTTGAGTTGCGGTGTTCTGTAACCAGATTTTTTCCACAGGGTAGCGAAGAACAGAAAAGAAATGTGAAAAAGTGTCCCAGAACTGCACCTGCTGGCTGGAATAGTAAATGTGAAATGATTAAATATTGCATATGAATATTTCATCATTTACCTGACCAAAGCTCATCACACACACACATTACAATCTGACTGTACAACCACTTTTTGGTTCCTCTGTGGCGCCAACATCATCTGCGCTTCCATTTTTTCCTGGTCTTCTTCAAGGTACAGAGTCTTTGGTACTCTTTAACTGGGCAGGCTGGGGTGTCATAACTCTTGTGCATATATGTCCAGGAGTTGCTTTATCCTGGCATAAAATCATGCCGAGATGGTAGACTGAGCTGCAAATGTGTGGCTCATCGTACAATTATAAAAAAAAAAAAATGTTGACAAGCAGGGAGAAGCATTTATGACAGAAGAGACACACAGGGCCTCCCCTGTGATAAAAAAAAGCCCACTTTAGTTCTACTTTAAATATATTGCTAAAATCAAGTGCTGGCCGCTTAAATCATTACAAAATGGCCATCCAGGCTCCAGTGGAAGAATGAGTGAAGTACTATCCTTTGCTCTCCAACTACCAGCATTCATTGCACCTAAGGTAACTCACTTCTGCTCATCTAACAGCAGATTGGTGGACATGCTAAACAGATTTAGCAGCATTCGGGGGCTCACCATTCTACCTCAGCAGCCCTTATTGAAGAGCGATACACCCATCTCTGGCATTACACATGCGGTAAAAGACAATACTCCGTAAGCAGGTATGAGTTTGCTGATGTTCAAGTTTCAATCTATCAGCTCCCCTATGTTCATCCCACTTAACTGGTAGAAACTCGAACAGTAGGAAAATTTGCTTCCTACTGCGTCTCGAAATAAAGTTGTGTGTATGTGTATATATATCTATAGATATAGATATATATATCTATAGATATATATATCTATATATCTATATATAGATATATATATAAAAATGGCAATTCAAACCTCTTTCCTTTCAG